CACACATGCGGAAAGCAGAAACCACCAAATTTTTGGGACGCAGATTATGAGTAGCAGAGCAATGGCGAGAGCTCTGGCCAGAAGACTTGCGCCAGCAGCAATTGAGTGGATGCGACCAGCTGCAAGTTTAACTTCCCATGCACTACTTACAATATGAAGGAGCACAGCAACAACGCACATGGTTATGATAGCATCGCGTGTACTAGATGGAGAGAGAGTTTCAGGTTTCAATTGGATAATGGCAGCCAGTGCTCCAATAGCAGAGAAAAACCAACCATGTCTGTCCATTCCCCTATCAAATTAAAAACAAAAACTGCTTTAGACCACAGAAACAATTAATGAATGTATAAAGTTAAACTAAAAGAGTGATCAGCATGAAAAAAAATGCTGCAACTACTTCAGTGTTTGTTTTGAGGAGAAGGGAAGGGAGGAAGTGGGGAAGGGAGGGGCGGGACTGGAACCCTTCACCATGCATGCCACATGATCCGTGCCAAACAAAAGCCCACGAACCAGCTTAAGTCGATTCAAAGAATGAAAGCCACTTACTCTGATTTTATCCCATATGCCACTGCAACTTAATGCAGTTGCAGAGAATTCATGAAGCATCTACCATGCCATAGTACTGTCAAACTCACATTCACATCTACCCAAATGTAAAATTTGGGCATTCTTGTTTCAAGTAAAACATCAAAATAATCTTACAAGAGATCTATGTACCAGCTGCAAGGGTTGAAGAGAGGAGCTGTGGCTTGCCAAAACTCATTGATCACGACACAAGAAGCAGAAAAGAGATGGGTTTGTGAAAGCGCCTAAACGCAATGGGTGTAAAATTCTTACTGTTTGTAAGTCATTTCAGGAATTCTTGACCAAATTGCAACCTGTTTGGATGTTAGTGAATATTTCATCCTTGAACATAACTCTGCAGATATTATGAATTACGTTGCCAGACACATTGCAAACGTGCCTTATAATTCTACGAGGACAGCAACCAGATATTCAGTGTTTTGTCACAAGAATTTCCAGCTCCAAGGAGGAGATGCTAAGATTCATATGACAGGTGCTGAGTCAGGAATGGAGGATAACACTGGACCAGAATCAATGACAAGGACAGGGTTGCAGGAGATGCTAAGATTCATATGACAGGTGCCGAGTCAGGAATGGAGGGTTACATCAATAACATTGGACAAGCATCGATAACAAAGATCGAAGGGGTAACATCATAGTCATACATGTCGTAGCAGTTCTTATAAAGTGTTTGTTAAGAGGGTTAGTAGTTTGTTTGGGTGACAGTTATAATCAGGGGATAAACAGTTAGTTCAAGTGGGTGAACTTGTGCTTGTGTAAATAGGAAGCAAAGATAAAATTCTATTCATTCTGGAGCATTATGATTTCTTCCTGAATTCTTTGTAATTATTCTATTTCTTTAATAATGCTTCTTTTTCATATCTCATCTTTCCTTCTCTCAGTCTTTTCTTCAAACACTTCACCTACCTTACACATTCCATCAAATACTTGATGGTATTAATCCTTCTCTGCTCTCCTATCTCTGGATAATTCAGCTACTGAACTTAACTCTAGATTCTTTTGAGCTCTAAACCACAAAACCCCCAATTTCTTAAACCATAGCTTCATTTATGGGACACGGACTAAGATCTACCATTGTCACATGTATCTGTACAAGAAATCTCAAAAATTCCTAACCAGAAAAGGACCAACCCATGAATAACAAACAAATTCACTTAGCGATTGAGCTTCATGACTCAAAATAGAAATTCAAAAACAAAAAACTTACTTGTAAGGTTCTTGAGATACAGCAATGAGGTCGTCTCTCAAGATCTCTAAGCAGCTGGAGTTCTGTGAGCAAGCTTTTTTATGTTTTTTTTTCTTATTTTATAAGTCAGAGATTGTTTAGGGTTTTAATCTGCCATGGTATTTCTCTAAATCGATTGTGTGCTTGACTTTGTAATGACTTGTGTTGGGCTTCTGTGCACCACTCATTTAGCTATGCTAAAATTTAAATGTTATTCATATAATAGTAGGAAATGAATAAAGAAGTATGAATATTGAAATGTAAGAATAGGCAGTAAAAAATATGACAAAAAAAAATAAAGAAATTCAAGATTAATCATACAATTTCTACCAAGGAATTATTGTTTAGTGGAAAGAAAGTGAGAAACAAAACACATAAAAGGAGTGTTTAATAAAGTTGAAATAATTTGGAAAAGGCTTACTGGAAAGAAGAAAAATTATTGAAGATTTATTGAGACCATGAGTGAGAAAACTATCTACCAAGTCATTGAGAAAATGCAAGTAAACTTGAAATTGAATATCAAAATATAATAATAGATGAATTCGATAAACCAAGAAAAAGGTGGTATTGTCTTACAAAATAGGGTATCAAGAAGAAATGATACATGGGAGAAGTAATATCTTGTCATAGTCGTGCCTTTGATCTCAATTGCAATTCAAGCGTCACTAAAATTTAGACCACAGCAGAATTGATGAAACTATAGATGAAGAACCCATTTGGTATTGTGGTAGCGGGTATTTTTCAAAATGCTTTTTATTTGGGAATGTATCAAAATAATGTTTTTTTATAAAAAAAATCATTTTTGACATCAGTACATTAAAACGATTTGAAAACAAAAAAAACAAAATTAAGCAAACAAAAAAAGTCAAAACTTTTTAAGAGCGCTTTTGAAATGCAAAAACAAACGAGCTATTTGAAGGAGCTTACAAAAAAAGAAAGAAAACAAATATGAGGGGTATTTGCTTTCAAAATTCAGGGTTATCAATGTAAGTTGCAGATTAGTAATCTCATGATGAATCAGATTAGCACAAAGGATATGTTGGTGCCAGATAATTTTAACATGTTAAAAACATGTTAATTTCCAGCCAATTGAGCTTAAAAAAGCAAACCTTCACATTTGAAAATTCTACTCCCTCTATGCCATTAACATTGGCCCTTTTGCAAAAAAAAAAAAAAAACACAAGGTTTAAGGAAACACCAACAGTCCATTAATTAGAGTTGGCTTTAGCATGCTATTATGTTTTCAACCGTAAGGTGTCTTAGCTACTATGCATTCTTGTATTAAAAATTCAAGCAAATAATGATAAATTTCATCATTAAATTAGAACACAAATTTGATAAATCAATTTAAATAAAGTGAATTAGAGGACATAATGATTTATATCAAAGCACACAAAAAAAAATAATCAAGGTTTTACCTGATAAAGGAGAGATCAAAATTTGTGATGAGAATCTCATTTTAACCTGCTACCTTTTTTTTTCAAATAAATTTCTGACAAAAAAGAAATGAATTTGAAAAGAACAATAAACAGAAAGGATTTTAAGTTCGCAATTTTCTCCAGATAAATGAATTTGGGAAAACAAAATCCACTGATTACCTTGCATCTTTAGATCTGGCAATGGTTAGGGAAAGGTGATTTCCTGGCACAAGGACACACTACCACCCTAGTATCTTTAGCCATCATCAATTGTCTTCTCCAGCATCCCAATAAATTCAAGAGAACAAAGAGACTCCATTAGTCAAAACTTTTATCTTCGTCATATTCATGAAGTTTATGAATGTGCGAATTCAAAAGCTGAAAGACATTAAGGAGATTGGAGATCACAATCCACATGTATCTAACAAATTATCTGAACAGACACCCAAAAGGGCAGTATTTTTTTAGGAGAAACGAGCCAAAGTTGAATTTCCAATACCTCTCTAGAACAAACACAGAACTGTTCAATGACTGGTATCACAGGGACTAGACCTTTGACACTGGCATGGCAGATTACAGATTCAAGCAAACAAAACAACCAAAATCCCATAAACAAATTAAATAAACCAAATAGCCATCATACCATAACTTCGACCTTGAAAGTAGAGAGTTTTCTTAACAGCACATAAAATAAACTGATACATAGCAGCTCTTCTTCTTTTTTCTTCATTCTAGCACGTTCAAGTCCTCTTTTGTAGGTGGGAGTTCCTGTCATGTATAAAACAACAGACAGACAAACACACAGAGACGGGAAAATAGAGAGAACCGATCTGTTACAGATCTACCAAACCAGAAAACCAAATTCAAAAAAATCATAAGGATAATTAAATAAATCAAATAACCACCATAACTTAAACCTGTGAAATAGAGAAGATTTGAACAGAACATCTAATAAACAATAGATTTAAAACAGAAATAGCTGTCTAAAAAGGCATCTCTTCGTTTTCTTTTTTATTTCTTCGTATCTCTTTAGAGAGAGAAAGAGAGAGAAGATGATGAAGTCTTGGCTGAGCTAAAGAGAAAACCAGTATCGTTCTCTAAACCTGTCAAGCTAACAATGAATAATGTTAGTAGATGGACCGTTTATATAGTGCTGTTGATTGATTTCACCGTAGAATACCTTCATGCCGGGGGACCGGGGTAGGAAAAAAGTTTTAAAACTCACCTTTATGCCGGGATGGGCCCAAACCGAGTCCTTGAAATGTTCTTTAAAAAAAAAAGTTAAAACTTTTATTATTATTTTAAACTAATATTTTTTTAATATTTTTAAATTATTTTAATATATTAACATTAAAAATAATTTTAAAAAATAAAAAAAAATACATTTTATTATAATTTTCAATAAAAAATATTTTAGAAAACAAATTTAATCACATTCTCAAACAAACATGTTTAGAGAATGTTTGAAAATAATTGTACCACTTTTTAAAAAAAAATTAATTTTGAATAAAAATAAATTCTATTAATAAACATCTACCAAAAAAATCACGTATAGAAAATATTTGGATCGAGCATGGTTGTCAAAAACAGGTTTTGACTCTTAAACTCGTCTGATTTTACGAGGCAAAATAGCTAAAATGTGTGAAATCGGGTTAAAACTTGAAAACTAATAAAATCAGGTTAAACTCGGTTCAGCTCGTGAAAATCGGTAAAAGCGTACCGAGTTCACGAGTTCGCTAAAAAATTCAGGTCTTCTCACTGCTACTCCATCTCCTGATTTCGTTGCGCCCGACACTCCATTCAGTGCACTCACACTCACCCAAATCTCAAATTCTCATAATCTCAAGTCTCAGCCCTAACAAATTAACACCAGCTGATTTCCCTCTCGACTGCTGCTGGTTTCACTCTCGCCTCTCAACTCACCAGCAGCACAAATATATAACCAGGTTTGCTTGTTGGATTCTCATCTTTTCTGTCATGTTTTATTATGTAGAAGAGGGCCATGTTTTTTTTTTTTCTGGCTGTATACAGTGTTGTTGCCTGTTGTTGTTTTTAAGAAGACGTGACCCACTAATTGTGGGAAAAATTGTTAATCTGCTAATTATAATTATATAATATATAAGCCCAGGTCCCAGGCACGTAATCTGCTTTGATTGATTTGGAAAGTTCGTTTTTAAGAAGTTCTAATCCTTGGATTTTACTTGCATCGTCACAGTATAGGAAAGCTATGTTCCATAAAAGGAAAATGCACAAAACACATTCATGTAGATTAAAATTATTGGTTTTGGTTGGTAGACACTTCTAGTTCTCTTATTTCATCCAAAATCATCTGCCTATTTTTGCACTCTATGCTACAAAAACCTTGATCATCCCTGCAATCTTGCATGAAAGATTTAATTACAAAATACAATTTCATATGAAACTAGTCCAACTGACATGGCTAACTAATTAATTAGTATATACCTTCTTGATCAGGGTTATGTAATTTAGCAGAGAGGAGGGGACACGTACTTCTGGTTTCTTAGTTAGATCTTCATCCTCCAACATCTCTCTGGCTGCTTGTAGTTTTTTACGCTTTTTACAGGGTAAATCTTTATGTTCAACAGATATTAGGTTTGTTTGGGAGAGCAAATCTTTTCAATCAGAAAATGATAACATTAAATTGCAGAAAAACAATCAGTGTGAATGCAGATAAGTTATAGTGTGAATACAGATAAGTTATGAGAAAAAATAAGAGATTTTACAGTTTATAATACGAGATTACAGGGTTCTGTTGGTTTTTTTATGGGATATTAGGTTTTTATATATGCTGATATGTGCATAGTGTTAGTTTTTTGTTGCATGCTCTATTCCAGTGTAATATTTTCCATCTTAGCTCATAAAAAATTTATGTGTGTCTAGATTTGATGAGGGTTATTCTTCAATAAAGACAAGTGGCTATTTAATCTGCTACTAGATCTGAATAATTTGATTGACAGTAAGGTTTTGAGAGACTACTACACATTTGATATTGTTTTGGCTATTTAATCTGCTATTAGATCTGAATAATTTGATTGACAGTAAGGTTTTGAGAGACTACTACACATTTGATATTGTTTTGGCTATTTAATCTGCTATTAGATCTGAATAATTTGATTGACAGTAAGGTTTTGAGAGACTACTACACATTTGATATTGTTTTAACCATATGAATGGCAAGATATTGGCTTGTACTTCTATGCAATGAAAATAAAAACGAATTTGTATTTGAATTATGTATTTTAAGGTATTTGAATATTTGTATTATTTATTTTATTTTTATTGTATTATTATTTACAAGACTGGATTTTTCAATTTAATTAAAATATTTTATTTGTGATTTTATTATTCGAGTTTATATTATATATTTTATGTAGGGTTAAAAAAGCGTTTTTTTTCTTTGACAACCTTGAATAGGAGAATTCTTCATTTTGATCCTGGAACATGTCAGCAGTGTTTGAGAGTCCCGTGACCACAGAAGGAGTCCCTCACTTCCTTTCTTTGATTCTTTTTCTTTCTGCTATCAGAGGGTGTTTAGCTTTGCTTTTGTAAATCGCGATTCGTGATTTTTTTTAAAAAAAATTCTTGCTTACATTTTTTCTCTCTCAAACACTACTTTTTTTTTTTTTTGTCACCACTAACCTCTGGGTACAATCACATAACTAGCGAATCCATGCATCTCCTCTCCTTTTTCTTCGAGCCAGGGATTTCATTGAGGTGTGAGATGACAGAGACGAAAATATCACCGTTTACTTCCAGGTGAGAGTTCTGCCATGAATAAAACAACAGAAAAAGATAAAGAGTCAGTTGCTTGAAAATAGAGAGAACCATATATTCATGGCAGATCTGTTACAGATCCAAACAAACCAGAGAGCCAAACACCCAACAACAAACTAAATCAATCAAAAGGAAAACCACCACACCTTCAACCTGGAACATAGAGAAAATTTCGAACAGCACATCGAATAAGCAGCAGATTTAAAACAGAAGAGAAGAAACCCATTGTGCATCGTGGTGACTCCCTTTGGAGAGACGAAAAACAGGAAAATCATTGGATATCGATCAGAAATGCTTATAAAAAATAAAAATGAAAATGAAAAATGAAGACGAGAGTCATCCCAGAACGCTTTGAAAGTGACATCCGGAACTCCTTTAAAGTAAGTTACTGGTTAAACGCTATATTTTTAAAAATTTTAATATTTTTTTTTGTTGAAATTTGATTTTTTTATATTTTTTAAATTACTTTAATATATTAATTTTAAAAATAAAAAAATTATTTTAATATATTTTAATTAAAAATTATTTTAAAAAATAATCATAATCATATTTTAAATAAGCTACAATTTTCAATACTCTGTAATGTTTTTTAAAAAAAACACTAATAATTTTAAAATATATTAAAATAATATTTTATTATTTTTTTAATATTACAAACATGTTTAAAAAAATAACTATAATTGTTTTTTAAAAGTAATTTTTATTTATAAATATATTAAAATAATATATTTTTTATTTTTTAAAAATTAATTTTTTTTAAAAAAAATTTAAATTTAAAAAACAAACTGTTATACATGTATGAATTCATGGCATGTGTTTGGTATTGAAGTTGCTGCTATAGTTGTGATTTTAAAAAAGTTATTTTATAAAAAATACTTTTAGTTAAGATTAGTTTGAAAAAATACATGTTTGGTTTAAACTATGGTTGAAATTCAGGTTGAACAAAAAATAGCTTAATGTGTGTAGTTAAAAAAATAATTTTCAAATTGAGATTATAAAATAATTAAAAAATATTTTTAATTTAAATATTGTAGATTTAGCTACTATTGCTATATCATGAAATAAATAATATTGATATTAAAATTTTTTTATTATTCTATTAAACTACATACAATTTCATCATATACGAAATATATCCAATAATAACTATATTTTTCATGATTTTTTAAGCACATAACAACAAAAACTGAATTTTTTGTTATGTCATCAAGTGATATCTTTTTAATTTTTGAAATAAAACATAATTAAAATAAAAATAAAAACTGAATTTTTTTAACTGGGTCAGACCCGGCAAGAACATAATTAGAATTGTGATCAAATTTCATAAATATTATGTCATCATGCGATATTCTTGTAATTTATGTAGTGTTATTAAATAATATTAAATACTAGTTTTTTCGAGTAAAACTTAATTTTTTAAAAAAAAATTACAATTTTATTATGTACAAAATTTATTCGACAAGAATTATAATTTTTATAATTTTTTAAGTGTAATAAAATTAAAAATTACAATATAAGTAAATTTAATTTATCTTAAATTAATATTTTTAAAATAAAAATATTATTTTTTATATTCACGTGTGAATGATTTGAGTGAAATCAGTTAACTAAACTAATTTTTTTTAAAAAAAGTTATTCACTTTAATAACATCATGACTGTTCATTGAAAAATCACGTTCTCCAAACTTGTGGCCACAGTGAAAATTAGTGGATTCTACCAAAAAAGTTCATTTTTTTTAGATTAATGTGGGTGTTCGGGTCAGCTTACGCGTACCACGACTAATCTCACGAGTCCTGAAATTAACGAACATATAAACTTCTAGTGGTCATCGTATGAGCAATCAAAGACTCGAATTTAAGTTTACTTTCTTTTTTGTTATCAAACACTAATATATGTGGCTGCGGGTGAACGTCACCCGCAGCCACATACCTAACAGCGTCTTATTCTCTGGTTCTTCGAAGCCCTCTTTCGACAAGGGAGACGAGAGAGACGAAAATATCCCTTTACTTGCAGGTGAGAGTTCTGCCATGAATAAAATAGAGAGACCCAATCTATTACAGATCCACCAAACCAGAAAACCAAATTAAAAAAAAAAAAACAAAAGGATAATTAAATAAATCAAATAACCACCATAACTTTCAATCTGGAAAATAAAGAAGATTTGAATAGAACATCGAACAAACAACTTTCTATTCTTCGTACAATTCAGTTTGCTGTTGTGTTTAGAAATTGAGAGTTTAGAAGGGGTGAGAAAAAAATTAAATTTTTTTGATTAAACTAAGAAAATTTAAAATAAATCAATCAATCAAACTATAAAAAAACTAATTAATTATTTAGAATATTTAAAAAAATCTGGTTAAATTTAATTTTATAAATCTAAAATTGATAAACCCAACCAAACCAAATCATTTTAAATTAATAAAAAAAATTATAAATAAAAAATTATTTTTCATTCTAACCTAATAACCCTAGCAACGGCCCTCTCCAAAGACATAGACATGCCACACCTTAGTTCTCACATCCTCCCATCATTTTAAATTCAACGCGCTCAAGTACCTCTTCTGTGTTGCGCGTTCAAGTCTTGTTCTGTGCTGTAAGATGAGAGAGACGAAAATATTACATTATACCCTCTGAGAAAGCTAATCTAGTGTAATTACTGGCATACCCCTCTAGCTCTATCATCTAATAATCTTAAAGAATTCGCTACGTTCAACTGAAGGACAATTTTGTCTTCTCGCTATTGAGAGGTCGTGAGTCATTTTCATTGTTGATTGAAAAAAGAATACCCTACCCTACCCTGCCATGTTTCGCCTCAAAAGCATTCACAATGCAAAACTTTAAATCTTTTTTTTTTATTATTATTATTATTACATGTCGTTGTATATGTCATAACTTATTTATATTAAATTTAAAAAATATATTTTAAAGGTTCTTTACTGTTTTTTAATATTTAATTTTTTAAAAGATATATAAAAATAACATTGGTAAAAAAAAAATAGTTGGAATATTAAATAATACTCTAAAATGCTTGATGAAAGTACTGTAGTATTTTTCATTTTGTTTTTGTTTTTTTCCTAATATTTTTTTCTCTTTTTTTAGGATTTACATGTTTTTTTCCAAGATTGTGTTTTTTATTATTTTTATCAATTTTTTTCACTTAACCTGAAGAACTTATTCCAAAACCCACAATCCAACAACAAATAATTTCATTTAATTGAAATTGAACAACAAAATTAATAAAAAAAACAAACAAAATTGCTCTCATATGAAAAAAAAATCTTGCAACAGCATTCATATAATTATTAAAAATAAAATTTTAAAAAATAAAAAATATAATGCAAAAAAATATCTAACCTTGATTTAATGGTGAGTGAAGTTAAGAAGAGAAAAAAAATAAATTCATAAAATATATTAATAAAAAAAATCAAGAAGAAAAAAAGAAAAGAAAAGATGAGAAGACTTACCCGCACATGGGGTATAAAAAAAAAGAATAAAAGAGAAGCAGACAAAGAGAGAAGAGAAAAAAAGAAAAAGATGTTGGTGTTTTTTATAGAAAAATAAAAAGAGGTGTGTTTGTTATGGAGTGAAAGATTCTAATCTTTTTATTATGACATTTTACATAAAGTTTTATCAATGAATAATTAAATATTGATATCTATAATAATCTTATTAGTGATTTTGTCAATATTATTTAATTAAAAATTTTAATTTAATAATTTTTTTTTAAAAACCCTCAAATATTACCAATAACTTTTTAATGCGTTGGTGATTCCATCGATATTATTTAATTTAAATTTTTAATTTAATAAAAAAATTAAGAAGCCCTCCAAATATCATTCATGACTTTTCAATCTGACGATAATTTTGTTTGTATTGTTTAATTAAAAATTTCAATTTAATAAAAAAATTTCAGAAACTCTTCAAATATCACTGATGGCTTTTTAATTTATCTATAATTCCGTCTGTAATATTTTAAAATTTTAATTTAATTGAAGATTTAAAAAAAAACCCTAAATATTATCGATGACTTTTCAATCCATTGATAATTTTGCATGTAATTTTTAATTTAATAATTTTTTTTTAGAAACTCTCCAAGTATCATTGAAGACTTTTTAATCTGTAAGTGATTTCATTTAAAATATTTTAAAAAAGTAATTAACAGTGCAATTGAGAGGTGAACACTTCCAGAACTCTCTGAAAAATACTAATGAAATTAACCAATCAGTGATTTTGTATGTAATTGTCAATATAAACAATGTAATTGAAAACTAAAAAATTCAAGAGTTTCTAAAATATACCAATAGAATTAATCAATTGATGATATGCTTTATAATTAACATAATAAATAGTATCAAGAAGAAGGGAACAAGGTACCAACATGTTTACATATAGATTTTACTGATAATATTTAATATTATCGATGATATCATCTATATAAATAATATATCATTATATTTTTTGTTTTTTTATTATAATTCTCTTGATATATACAGTGAAGGATATTTTATTGGTAAAATTGAGTGTAATCTACTGATCAAAACATTTAATTAGTGTTTTTTAAAATATATATTTACTAATTTTCTACAGTGAAGCTTTCCTAGGGTGTCTGTTACTCTAAACTAGACATTATTTTCCCCTGAAGGCATCCGGAAAGCCCACAGATTTTTTGTAGGGTATGCTAGACGTCATCTGATGTATGCTGAGATTAATAGTTTGTTTATGATGAGCTCAACCATTGGAATAGTATTAGCGAAAATGAGCTCAACCTATATGAGCTAGAGCTCTTAATCACTTTCTTGTGATCCCTTAAACATATTTATAGACTAATGTCTTCATTAAAATAAATAATGGGAACTTGCAAAGTAATGTTAGCGAGGCGTCATGTAATGACCTCATTGGTTCCAAAACATTTCTTCATTAATGTCGTGCAAGAATCTCGTTTGAGCTTTTGTATGATAATGTTGCTGACAGTGCTAGATTAAATGATTGAGATTTTTAGTTTCTTTAATTTAACTTGGAAAAATGTCAAGAACGAATTATATTTTAGTTCCCATGAGTAAATGCATAGTCATCAATTGATCAGTTAGTGTAGAAAAAAACAAAATTTTGATTCTGTGTTGAATTAATTATTTTTTATTTTTTATTATTAATTATGGATATTCAAGTCAGTTTACATGCATTTTAATTAATATTTTAAGATTTTAAGATTAATAATTATTTAAATTTTTAGTGATTTTGAGGTATATAAAATTTAAATTGATGATTTTTA